TGTGTTTTGCTCTCCAGGCCTTCCCTCTTTAGCCACACACGCAGAGGTTTTGGCTGTAGTGGGCGTGGCCAAGTCTGAAGCCAGCCGGAACTCCGTTCCTGTGCGTTCCTGCCCCAAAATAGTCCTGCATAAAGGGCTCTGGTGGCAGATGTGCAAGGCCTCTGAGAACCTGGGAAGCTGTTTCCAGTCAGAAGAGACAGTGGGTGGCCTTCGAGGACCCCTGTCCTCCAGGGGTGTTCCAAGAGCTGCAGTCCTCTGAGAGTGCAACGCAGCCATTTGTGTGCCTTCCTGTTTATGACAACTGATATGCTGTGAGATGACTGAGAAAATGTGCTTGCGTGAAGCACTGTAAACCCCTGAAGTGTACCATGTCATTGCAGAGTCTTCTGTGACTAGCGAAATACGGGGGGGGGGGGGGGGCACAAGGCTCCAGCTGAAAGGAAGGTGGTTCTTGCCCAGTTTATCCACTTGGCTGACAGTGGGCCCCCTCCATTTAGTTGTGAGCAGCTCTCGCCTAAGGAAAGCACCAGGCCTTTCCATTCTTGGAATTTCCCAGCAGCCTTTGCATGTGGCAGCCATTCACGGCAGCCGCTGCATAAACATCTGCTGAATTTGGACTGAGCTGGGGAGACGTTAATCTCAGCCACTGCCAGCGTCTGCAGGACTCTGAAACCGACACATCAGCTTGAGAGATGCGGGTCGAGGGATGAAGATTCCTGACTTTGTCAGGGTCCTTAGTCAGGTTACTCAACACAGGGCTTCATGAGAAGATAACTGTTTATTGGCAAATCCAGTACTAGAGACACATGTACAGCTTGTGTCAGGAATGGCCGCCAATACTAGGGCCTCTGACTTATACTAGAATCAAACATCCCCCCCCCACTGGTAAGCATGAGCCAATGGATACATCTCGCGTGCGCGGGCAAAGCAAAAGCCGTTAACTTTCCCAGCCGAGTAAAACTGCAGCTGGAGCATCTACAAGGTCAAGCATAAAATAGCAAACAGTTAGCTGAGACAGAAAACGGGAGGGCACCCCTCCACATTCCAGACCTATGACAGGGCTACCTGACACTCTGAAACTGACACATCCCTCCTTGAACATGGCTGCTTGTCCCCCTAAAGAATGGCCTGCCCGGGCTGCCTCTTCTTTCTGTCTTTGGCAGATGTCTGTTGGTTCATTTTTACCTTGCATGCATTAACTTGTATTGCAGAGACATTCGTTTGACATTCCAATATTTGTAATATCTGGGAGTAAAACATCGTTTTGACAAAATCTGCTGCAAGGACTGCTGCAAAATCTTCCGCCGAAGCGATGTTTCTTTTGTCCTTTGGGACCGCATGCATCAAAGAAATCAATGATGAGTGCCCCAGTTTGCCAAATGTACATCCTGCTAAGTTGAGGGCGAGGGGAGAAGAGGCCGCCTGGGTCCGTCGCGAGCTGAGTCTCTTGGGTACTTCTGCTCAACGCAAGCCGGCCCTCAGAACCTTCGCTGGGTTTGACTCGGCTGGGCCCGTTACCGTGGCGCGCCAGCCGGCCCTCAAAGCCTTTGCTGGGTTCAGGGGGCCTGTTTGACTCGGCTGGGCCCGTTACCGTGGCGAGAGGCTTTGCGGCAGATCTCTTTGCCCCGCCTTCCCCTTGCTCGGGCTGAGTTTCAGAGGGCAGAACAGCCAGATTCGAGTCCAGGAGCACCTCGGAGACCAGTGAGATCTTCAGAGGATGAGCTGTCAAGAAAAGTCAAAGGGAGCCTGGCCTCTCGGGATCTCATGGGTCTCGGAGGTGCTCCTGGACTCGGACCTTGCGTGCTGCGGCGGCTGCGTGGTGGCAAGTCGAGCGAGGGCGGGCCCATCATCTCCCCTGTCAAGGCTCACTGCGGTCTAGTATCATTATTTTGGATGGACTCCCATCTGACTTTCCCTGCGTCATTTCTAAACCGTGCCGTTTTGTTTTGCAGGGTTACTCCGTGACTGTTTGGGGAATTACCACCTTGCCTTTTATTTTGCTGGCATTCCCCCACTAATTGGGGGTCTGGTTCTGGCTGTTGTTCCAGTGATCCATCAGAGAAAGCTCCGGAAGCAGCAGCGGGAATCTGGGAAAGACAAGATGTTGGTTTTGGAGACTGTGATGAACGGAGAGCTCCTTCCCGGTTCCCCAGCCGTGGAGGCGCACATCTAAAGCCATCCACAAGACCTCTCGGTGCCCGCGCACATCCCCTCTTGCCACCAGCATTTCTGACACTGTCTGAGCCGAGCCCTTCCTTAGGAGGAATCCAGCCTGTCTGCTTGTGGGTGGAGAATACCACACTGACAAGCCTAACTGGACAATTTACTTTCAAGTTTATTTTAAAACCAACCGCTCTTTTCAGCGGAGAGAATTCTACCAGCACTCTGATTCATGGTTAGGTGATTGTTTTTCTGGCTGGCGTAGCAGCGATTGCCCTTTGGTAATAGGCATTTAACAAGCTTTTGATAGGTTTCATGGATTTATTTCCCCACCTGCAAAACAGAGTCTGTCGCTTTTGCCTTGAAAGTAGAGTTTTGTTTCCTTCTGAGCTCCTCTGGGACTTATTTTTATAGTAGCCAAATTCTCAGAGCGTGTTTTAACCACTCATGGAGGCAAAGAAAAGAAATGTTGCACCGTGGGTGAATTCTGAATCTTTTTGGGAAATGTATCCTCTTCTCCCTCCCCACTTGGGCAGAATCTGCCCCTGAATTCCTCGTTGGTCCCAGCGTCCTCCTACCGGGCTCCCCTGAGTTTTTGTATGTGCACAACCATCTACTCATGTGTAACAGGCCTTGTCAGCAGATCTTCTTCTCAGTTCTTGGGCTGCCTATCCTGATGTTTTCAGACTGATCTCCACCCACTGCCAGAGAGTTGCAAGGGATGCCACGGGAGAGGAAGGGCCTCAAATAGTACTTACAACTTGGCGTTTTTAAATTTTTTATTCACCCCCATTTTAAAGACCGGCCTCTGATTTCTGAGCCATCCTTCAGAGGTGCAGTTTTATGGGGGACCTGCACTCCCTGGCCAGAGAGGACTGGGGCCTTTCTGGCCATGAATCCTCCAAGGTGTGATCTGAGCCGGGTAGAGCCATTTCTCCCATTGCAACCTGGACCCAACCGATTGAAGTTGGCAGAACCCTCCTCCTCCTCTTTTGCCTGAGTGTTCAGGGCATTCCTCCTGAGCCAGAGCCTGCCGGCTGGGTGCAGACACAGACTCCTGCTAAGTTTGGAATCCCCTGGAGAAGAGTGATTGGCCCTGGGGAAAGGGATCTCCCTCCTTAGCACCCTGGCAAATGTAGCTGTTTCCTCATGAATCCCTGTAAATCCCTTTGTGAGTCGGCGCCACAGAAGCTGTGGAAAGCAGCCAGATGTTTACCCAAAGCAAAGGAAGGTTCTGCCTGCATGCGATTCGGCGGTGGGGCGGGCGGGAGGGGGCCTCCCTCAGGGACTGGCTGAGTTGTGTACAGTGCCTTGCATACAGGAGTGGCAGAGGAATGAGCTGCACGAGCCACTGGTCTTCTCAGAGAGAGCTGCGCGGAGGGGAAGGTCTGCGAATGGCATGGGCCGCCGCTCAGCGGATGCGGCCCAAATGCACATCCATGCTCTGAGAGCGTGCCTCCCCCGGGGGGCTGTTGAGGGATGAGCCACTAGCACACGAGGGCCGCCTCTTTGTGCCCCGGGAAGCTCAGATTTTGGGACATTAGGCGGTGTTCCTAACTTGCCGGGCCTTCCTAAGGAGACCAGCATCGTGATGCTAAGCAGAGCTGTGTCAGTCCGTCCATTGAAACCAACAGAGTCACTCTGTGGAGGTGTGCACTCTAAGACCCCGGTTCAAATTTTGCCTCTGCCACCGTTTTATTGTTGTTGTTTTTTTAAAGATAAGCTACTCAGTTTCAGATGGGGTTGCAATTCCGGCTTGGGAAATTCCTGGAGATTTAGAAGTGGGGTTTGGGGGCGGGAGGAGGCTCAGCAGGGACGTGAAGCCACAGAGTTCACCTTCCAAAGCTGCCATTTCCTCCAGGGGAACTGAATTCTGTAGGCTGGAGGTCAGCCATAATTCCAGAAGAACTCCAGGGCCCACCTTGAGGTTGGGAACCCTACTTTCAACCCACCCCTACCTCTCTATGCTGCAATACGGAGACCGTCATACTGACCTCCTTTGCAGGATTGTTATAAAAAGAAGTTGGTGTATGTCAAGTGCTTAGAACACTTTGCAGTGCTATCTAAATGCTATGTAGTGTTGTTGCAATTTCAAGTTTTAAATATATCCCACTGACCCATGCTGTAAATCCCATCTGGTTGTCCTTCGTCACCACTAATGTGACTAGAAATTGTGTGCCTCTGTCCTTGAAGCTGGGCATGAAGTTCCCTGCAGCTGACCATTCTGCTATTACAAACGTTTCCAGGGCTCTCTCTAATCTCCCCGCCCCCCTGCCCCCCCGCTGAGTGGGGCACTTCACATCCTGAGCAGAATCTAACTGCTGTCATCTTAAAATGGGCCACGGGGCAGTGCCCAGATTGCTGCTGAAGGGGGCTTCCTGTCTGGTGCCAGTTTGGTATAGTGGTTAGGAGCGCGGACTCTAATCTGGGAGAACCGCGTTTGATTCCCCACTCCTCCACATGCAGCTGCTGGTGTGACCTTGGGTCAGTCATAAGTTCTCTCAGAGCTGTTCTCTCAAGGACAGTCCTGGAAAGAGCTCTCTCAGCCCCACCGACCTCACAGGGTATCTGTTGTGAGGAGGGGAAGGGGAAGGAGTTTGTAAGCCACTCTGAGACACCTTTGGGTAGTGAAGGGTGGGGTATCAATCCAGTCCCTTCTTCTTCTTCATGCGCACAGCTGAGAGGGAATAGTAGTTGGAGACCCGCTTTCCAGTTCCCTGGGAGGAGCTGAAAGATGGGGGGGGGGGTTTTGATCCTGGGGGTCTGCCCCACTTGTGGCCCTGGTCTCTCTCAGAGCAAAGAGCCTTCCTCCTTATGGAGCCCCTTGGGCTTGGAGAAGGTGCCGCATTAATGCGCTGGATACTCAGGTTGCAACACGCAAGGCGCAGACCTCTCTGCCCTGTTCTCATGAACAACCCAGGGTTGATTAAACGCCCGTTTTCTCCTGGGAGAGAGTTGAGCCTCCCGAGCCTCCCGGCTGGTTGGCAGCCAGTGAAAGATCATCCCTCGATCTGCATCCTTGGCCCCCTCCCCCCTCCACGATTCAGTCTCAGGCAAACAGCAGCATCCAGAGCAGTGTTATGTAAGGCTCTCCAGTAGGGAATGGCCACCTGATTTCGGAGATAAAGGGGCAGTGGCTGTCAAAGAGGGAGAGACAAGTGGTCACGTGTCACCCAGCGAGGAGGAGGAGGAGGAGGAGGAGGAGGAGGAGGAGGAGCAGCAGCAGCAGCAGCAGCAGCAGCAGCAGCAGCAGCAGCAGCTGCAGCTGTGGATCCAGAGACAGCCTGCAGAGTCCGGAGTCCCTCTTGTAGAGCGTGGCACGTTTGAGCCCCGCTCTGCCTGGAAGGGGGGGGGCTGCTGCTGCTGCTGGCAGTCGTCACCTGGGATCCTTGGGGGGGGATGTTCACAGTCATTGACATTAAAGAGAAAGCTGACTGCAACTGAAACACTACATGAATCCCCGGCTGCCCCTCCCCCCCACCCCAAGGAGGAGAAGGTGATAAGAAAGGCCAGACCTTCAGCTTGCCTTTTGTTGCAAAGTCTTTTGATGCAGCTGTGAAGTTTAGGGGGGGGGGGACAGCAGGAACTGGCCAGTTTAGTTTAGTTTAGTATTATTATGACTGTCTTAAGACCCGCATACAATACAAACATAGTATGAAAAAGAAGGAAAAAACAGAGATCATATACAGAATAAAATCTAAATTTAAAAACTTTTAAAATGTAACTCCCACAATCTAAGAATCAATGCAACTGAACGTGTAATCTCTGCATTCGTATCTGATAGAAGCCAGTGAAGTCTTGCTTCGTTCGTATTGATGTGACCAAGTATCCTTATCAACGAATGGGGTGATGATTTTAAGACGAGCCTCTCTGTAGAATGGGCAGCTGAAAAACACATGCTCTACTGATTCGACCTCGCATGGAGTGCATGAACATAGCCTTTCAGGGTAGGGGTTCTGATTATACCTGCCTTGAATAACTGCAGGTGGAAGGGCAGAACATCTGGCTAGGGCGAGTGCCCTTCTAGAGCTCTTTCTCTCCACTGCAGGAACTGGACATTTGCACTGCTCTGGATATTTGCCTGACTCCAGTGCTGCTGATAACGGTATTTTTCTGTTCCACCACAAAATGTATCCTTGGTAGATAATTTTTCTGCAAAACACTACGTTGTTTGGGTTGGGGAAGTAGCTTTGTTTGTACGGGAAAAGTTTTCATCAGAACACCCACGAATCTGTCCCAGTGTCCGCAGAAGACAAAGGCCCTCTTAGTGTCAAACTCCCCCATGCTGGAGGCAGAGAGGGAGCAGGCCAGGGTGGCAGGAGACTTCCCGGTGGGCCCTCCCTCCTCAGGCCCCCAGAGACTGGTTTGCCCCCAGTCGCCGCCCTTCCTCAGAAGCCGCAGACCCCGGACCCCCACACGGGCATGCCACGGCGACACCCACCACACGGGGCTCCCACTGTTCTGTTCTTCAGACAACATGAGGAGATGAACCTTTCATGCGGAGAAAATGAGATCTGTCAACTCGAAGGAAGTGCTTGGAGACAAATAACTTCCTCAGATAAAAATTTCCCCCCAAGAGAACTTTTCTGAAAAGGCCAGAGAAAAATGTCCCTGTAGAGTCACCATAGATGCTGGGAAGCAACTGGTGGGAGTGGACTGTTGCCTCCAACATTAAGATGACTCTGGAGGCACTGAATGGGCCCAATCTGGAAAGGAGACGCTCACTTAGATGGACCCTTGGTGCGGTCCTGCAAGGGTGCTTTGGTGGCCTCATGCGCCGACCGCTGGAGGGCTCGGTCATTTCACCCAAGTAGAGAGAGGATTGGCTTGCACCCACCCAGAGCTCAGCAGTGCAGATCAAGGTGTCCTGTAGCCATTACGCAAAGGACCACCGCCTCCACTTATTATTCATTCGTCATTATTCATTCATTTGTCACTTCCTGCCCCATGGGGGCCTTTGTAAGTACCTCATGGTTTGGGGACCAAAACCTGCCTTGAAGACAGGCAGGGATCCTTAAGGGCACGTTCTTCACTTAGAGAAGAGACATCATCTCCATTTCTGAAGTGCCTCAGAGTAGCCTCAAGGGCAGCGATGAGTCAGTGCAAAAACTTCTCCGCTTTGAGTCAGCCGCCTCCCAGCCACATACCCAGGATCCCTGAACTGGACCAGACTCCAGTCCTGGCTTTGGAATGTTCCAAACCGGGCCCCAATTCGGTTTCAGGGCTTGGCTTTGCATGGTTGTTGCAACCACATTCCAAGACACCGGCATTTCTGTTTGCCCCTGTGCATCTCTGGGAACAGCTGATTCAAGCTTTGGCTGGGGAGTTCTCAAAAGGAAAAGGAAGAAGCCCCCCGAGGAAGATTGAGACGCTGCTGAGACCTCCCTTGACACCCCTCAACCACCAAAGAAATAACCACCCCCATTCAAGGTGCAGCCACACAACTGAATGGTTCCCCTCTCCCCTAACGGCAGCAACCACGGTCACCAGGTAAAATGAAATGCCCATTCTCAGTGCCCATCATCACCTCTGTCCCTGGGTTAGCAGACTGCCTGCACGGCCTGGGAGTTTGGGCTGAAAAGAGCAGAGGGCCTCCCACACAGGTGTCCTCCCAGCTCAGCCAACGTAACCAAGTTCCCTTAGTGGCCATTTTCTACAAAAGGAGTTTGATTTTTACCTTTTGCTGTCAGTTCATGTTCCAAAGCTTTCCCAATTTGCCACCTGCAAATTCTCAGCTTGCCAAGACAATCGTATATGTCAAATGTTACATGTATTGTTAATCTCTATAATAACTGTTATACTAAAGGCATGAAACTATATTGTACAGGTTTTTTTTTCCCCTTCTAGATAATTGTGGGGGTGGGGGAGGGAATTGTTTTACTGGTGTGAAATCTTTTCTTCAAACTGATTATCAAAGCTGGGTTGAGATTATATCCTTTTGTTAAGATTTCTGACCTTTCTCCAATTCTCTTTGTTTACTCTGCCGCTCCACTTTCAACAGCTTAAGACACGCTTGGCTGACGGGCACATCAAAACCAAATTACTCTAGAAAAGTACAGCACTTTAGCACTTTCCAATTGACTCCCCCAATATACCAGTTTCAGCAAACAGGTCCTGTTTTTTTGTTTGATCAAATTCACTATAGGAGCGAAGAGCGGAACTCTTGGGAAATCTCTGGCCGTTCTGGGTGGAGAAACACCTGGAGACTTTGG